CCAAGCTTGGGTTGGCCAGGCATGCTAGCAGAAGGGTCTCACGCACGAGATGTGTAGCTAGTGGTGGCGTCTTCCAGGGCATGTGCAGCGCAGACGGTAAGGCTGCTTCGATGCGTGCCACTACAGCAATGTTTGCCATTTGGCCACATCAGTGGTCATCATTTCCATAACACTGCGTGGGGATGCCGTTGTTTTACAGCTTCGTGGAAGATCTCGGCGAATCTCGGCGAAAGCTACGTTGTAGTTAAGTCCACTGCATGTTCGGACGGAGGGCCGATGTCACGATGTCGCTGTCCACTCACGTGGTAGGTGATCGTTTTCACAACTGTTCTGACAAGCAGCAGCGACCATCCATCGGAAATTGTCTCGGAGCTTTCGATGGAAACCATGGTCTACATGAGTGGGACGAATCGTCTAGGTTAACACAGCAGTCGCAGCAATGGGTACGGTAGAAGAGCGCTCGTCGAAGCACTTAATTACACTTGTGAAGGTTGGAGATGTTGTTCCGTTTGTCCTGCATTGGTCCCTGATGAGCCTTTAGCTTGATGCAGCCTCCAGGCCTACGTACAACCGAACCAGAGGGCTTGACGACAGAGGCCCACAGAACGAATTTTAGCTTGTTCAGATGTTGGCATTTCTATCAGCAGTCGAAACAGTTGAGGCATCTGGTTCCTTGGTAAAAGTATCTCTGTCGAGTGAGTGCAATGTCTTGACCAATCCCAAGACCCTAGATCGGACATCAGTGGGCTCACACCTCGGCGCAGAGCATTCGCTTTCCAGGGACGTTTCAGTTCGTTCAGACGTGTGCGGTCTTCGAAGAGTTTGTCGAGCACGTAGGCTCCGAGTGTTCAATGAGTGGGCATGTTTGTGGTATGTTGTTGTGGTCTTTGAATGTGCGCAGTGCAGCACTATTCAGGCAGTCACAGGTGGTTTTGCAAAGAAGATTGGCCTCAAGAAGGTGTAAATGCGACTCTGCTGTCAGGTCAAGGTTGCCGAATGCCTTCGTGAATACTAGTGTGAGTTCTTGTTGTGCAGTTCATCAGAGGCCAATGTCTACTATGTCTCTTGCGCGGAGAGTTCTGGGTACTTTGCTGTGGAGCGTTAGAGCGAACGCCGATTTAGGTAAGGTGCCACAGCATTGATGCCACAGACACGAGTTTCAGCCAGCTCGACATCGTTTCCGCGTTGTACGACAGCTGTAGCAAGCCAGCAAACGTCAGCGAAAGCAAGCCATTCTTCCGGGCGTTGTGCCAGAACTCGTCTTGGTGTCTACACGCTTGACTTCATTGTGCCTCAGCACTCCGGAACCGTTGACAATTTTGTTTTGAGTGATGTCGGATCTTCTATGTCAGCTCGAGACCAGTCGGGCCTTGTGCCAAGCTTGGGTTGGCCAGGCATGCTAGCAGAAGGGTCTCAAACAATGGTTGCTCCACATGTCTCCATTCATTAGCATGCGGCTGGTAGACGCACTTGCACTTGAAGCAAATGCCAGTGCCCAAGATCAGCAGGCTTCAGCTGCCGCTTTTTCTGAAGTTTCTTTGGCTCCCTAGGTTGGAACCTCACGTCTGCCCCGAAGGGGCCCAAGTTTCTTGGGCAGTGCGGAACCGTGGAATGCCGAGCAACCCCACTTAGATTTGGGGGTGTTGGTAGGCGTGGTTGCTGGGTAGTTTGTTTTGGGGTGAAATCGTCCACCCAGCAACTTTGAAGAATTAGTCCCGAATGCTGTGACAAAGATGTGGGACGCTCGGCATTCCAAAAAGCTTTCTTCTGGTGCTTCAGCACGCTCCCTTGCAGCATCCGGCTTAACCGCTAGCATGCACAACTAAGTTTATAGAACGTATCGTGTACTTGTTTCACGTATGTTTTATAAACTTTGGTTGTTGCAACATTTTGGCTCAGAGTTGTGCATGCTAGCTGTCGTCATTTCGATTTCCTCACCCACCCGCCCATTCACAATGTATCTGTACTGCGGTGCCGTTGTTTCTATCTTTGTTGGGCATCTCGTTAGCTTCTGTGCTTACACTTCGGGTGCGCTTTTTCGCCGTTTCACATGCGTCTCACAGGCACTGGCCACCAAGAAACAATCAAGATCCCCGCAACAAGAAAAAATCAGAGCCTACGGGGCAGGCTGTAGCGTCTCACATAGCCTCGTTCCGTGCTCTCCCATGGTACGCTGTGTTGTGTTGGGTTGTTGGTTTTTTGCTGTTGCCTCGCGTTGGGGTGTTTCTCTTCACCACAGATTGTTCTCGCGACCATGGGAGGTAAACATTTTGTGCATGACTAGTTTTTCCTTGTGCAGGCTTGCCGGCTTGTATGATATCAACCATTCGTTGTGCTTCTTATAGCTGCAAACTTTGCAATCTAGCTGTGATTCCAACTGGCATGGGGCGTTGTCTCACTCGCTTGTGTTTCTATCCGCGCTGGCCCACTCGGCGTAACGCTGTCCTCGTAGTGCCGTTTACCTTGTATTCCCCGGAGGGGGTCTTCGAATGAGCTGCGTGCAGCCCGGTGGTTGGTGGTGTTGTCATTTTACTCTTTGTATCATAGTGCCGTTTATCTTGTATCCCCCCGGGGAGCCTTCGAACGAGCTGCGTACAGCCCGGTGCAGTGGCCGGTATTCGTTCTGTCCTTCTAGTGTTGGTTCCGTATGGTTGTGTTTTGCTTGGTGTTTGGTGTTCCTTTTGACATCTGCAGGTGCTGGGGGATGAAATCGTCCACCCAGCAACTTTGAAGAATTAGTCCCGAATGCTGTGACAAAGATGTGGGACGCTCGGCATTCCAAAAAGCTTTCTTCTGGTGCTTCAGCACTCTCCCTTGCAGCATCCGGCTTAACCGCTAGCATGCACAACTAAGTTTATAGAACCAACTGTATTCTCGGGACGACGTGTGGCCAGCTTTGCGTGCACAGTGGCTGCTTTGGCGTTCAATACATGCCGGCTTTCGTCCAGCAAGACCACAGCACAGAGGCGGCCAGTCCCCGCTTGTTGAACCACTTGTGGACACCGCAGGTTTCCAGTGGGTGGAGTACTGCCCGGACCTTTCCTGCTTTTCAGTTGGCAACGACTGTCAGTCCTTCTTAGCTTTGGAGCAGCAGGACGGTGACCTCCGCGACGCCCGGGAATGCGGTTCTTCACGTTCCGGCGCCAAGCTTCCTCCATGTGTTCGTGCTCGTGCCCAGGTCGACCACTTCGAGGACTCCGATGCGGACGAAACAGGCCCGGTTCGTGCCTCTTCTACCGCGACCCGCGCTCCGGAGGTCGATCCCACATGGCAAGCTGAGTCCAGTGAGGCCCCTAGCTTTTCACACAGTACGCAGCCGCTTGCTGCTCCCCCCGCTCAGGGACTCCGCTCTGGTTGTAAAGAGGTACGATACCTCTTGGGAGCCTCTGGCGTGGCACACTCTTGCATTTCCCACCCCGGCCCGCATGACGTGCTTGGCCTGCAGGGACGCCTCTTGCGCAGTACGATGCCACCCCGCTTGTGGATGCATCTCAGAATTTTCACCTTTTGTCCATTTTCCGCCCGACTCCCGCTTATGTAAGCGGCGGGCTTGCATCATGGCCTCGCTTGATGCAGCTTGATAGCAGCCAGGGCACGGTGCTTGCTTGCTTGCTTGGAGTCCCACAACTTTCTGTTCATCGTTTTCTTCAGCTCGAGATGCGCTTCAAGCCCACTTTCTTGCCTCCTTGGGTCATGGCGAAACTTTCCCCTGAGTACGCCTTCACACTCCTTAAGACCATGACCGACGAGGAGAAAACCCGCTTTCTGAAGCAGTTGGAGAGCGACCCGCTGCTTCATCCTCGGTGGAGGCACCCGCTGTGCAACCCGTCGCAGCACTTATGGAAGACCCCATAGGGGAAAACATCGCCGCCGAGGATTACAGCTTACCTGCAGCGGGGCCAACTGCTTCACCGTCCCCTCCGGCCAAAGCTGCACCCGCTTCTGTGACAGCGGAGCAGCCCGAGGCAACCCAGGACGGCAGTGCACCCGCTTCCGAGACCACTTTAGCTGGCACCGGGGGCAACGGCGCCACGGGTGGCGGAGGCGATGGTGTTGCCAACGCAAAACGCTGGCAACGTGAACCCGAGGTGAAGGAACCGCCGCCACGGCCGCCCTCTTCACCAAAGGCGAGTTCTCCAACCCCGGCTCCGACTGGACCTCCGCTTAAGGCCAAGAGTGTGGCATCACCGCCGGCTTCGACAACGCCAACGCCTGCTTCGGCCACGGCTACGGCTACTCCGTCGGGCAACAGGGCCCCACTTCTGGCGAGCGAGGCCCCGGCGAACCACTTGGGGCACACAATCTACGACAGTGAGGGGCAGCCCACGCTTCAATTAGTCCAGCTTTGGGCATGCCGTAAGCAGTGCTCCCAATGCTCGCTTGGACACTGCCAGGCTACCTTTAGCGACCGCTCCAACAGCTACCACACCACCCACTTATGCAGAGACTGCAAGAGGGCAAGCCGCTTCACAATGGAGCCAGGGCTATGAGGAGTGGGGGCAGAACCAGTCCGGATGGGAGGATCAACCCGCTTGGGGATCCTGGAACTGGAGTGGCCGCAATTGGCAGCATCAATGATGCTTTTGCCTCCGCTCCACGCTTTTGCCGGCTGTGGCATTGAATCGCCCACTTTTGGGCTTGCCCCTATAGATCCAGGGCAGCCCCGCTTGGGCTTGTGGGCATAAAGCGCCCGGCTTTTCCGAAGCCAGACATACTCGAGCTCCGCTTCCCGCTTGAAAAAGAAGGCAAGCCCGCGTGCCGCCCTCTTGAGAACAGTTCACGCTTTGAACTTGTGGCTCGCTTTTCAATCGGATCAAGAAAGATTTCCGGCCTCCCCCGCTCTGGGTAACCCTCGCTCCTGCGTTACAGGCCACAGATGCCTACTGGTCAACCCCAGTAAACTGTTTCCCTGCTGCAGGACCACCACTGGCAACGCTCCACCCTCAGCTTCAGTTCGCTTCTTTTCGGCATTATGTGCACCTGCTTCAGGTCAAGCGAAGATGTCTGACTTCACACAACTCGTGGCCGACTGCAATGTGCCAGCAGCTGTCTCCTCTTTGCTTTCAGCGTTCGACGTTGCTTTGTTTGCCCGGTCCTGCACCACTTCGGCAGAGCTTGAAGAGTTGGTGAACCACTTTGTGGCGGAAGCCTCAGTTACTGACGCCGCTGAGCGCTTTATCACCAAAGCTTCGCTTCGCTTGCTCTTTTGCAAATGCCGAACTTCAGAGGGCATGGCATCCTTGGAAGCCGCTCCCACTCCCACCAGACCGCTTGGTGACGGGCCTTCAGCGGCTACCCCGGCTCCCCCGGCCACGCCTCCGCTTTCCAGCTCCTGGCAAGAGGCTTGGCCCGCGAAGCTGAGTGGGGAGCGAACCGCTGCGCTTAGGAAAAGGTTCGAGGAGGACTATACCCCACTGAACTTCTTGACGCCGAGAGCTTTCCAAGTGCCCGCTTATTGGCCCTCACCAATAAGATGCTTTCTGACAAGGAGGTGCGATGGATTCCCTGGAAGTATCGCTTAAGCGCTCGTGCTCAAGAAGACAGTCTCCTCGTTCGACCCAGGAAACAGGCCCGCTTTGACCTAACAGAGCTTTTTCTGGACGAGGCGCCTACACGTGACATACATGAAGGCCCCGCTTCCTTTGGCCTTGTCACTCAGCTTCTGTCACTGGCTGCCAACGCCATTGCGCTCTGTCAAGGTGCACATCTGGGCTCTCTGAAGCTTTATAATAAACGCTTCATGAGGATCTGCTTCACCAAGTACGATGCCGCCGCCAGCTTACGCGGTCCCACTACCATGGAAGCCCAGGCCGCTGACCGCCGCTGTTGGGAAATCATCGCCGACTTAGTCAACGTGCACCACTGGAAGTTGGACGATGCACTTCACGAAGTGGCCGAGGTGCGCTCCGACATGCACAGCCTGCTTGCACCGAGGCCCTTTATCCCCAAACCGAAGTTCGACCTGGACAACAGTTGGAAGGCCCGCTTCACAGGCAACGGTCGAGGCGGCAAGGGCGGTGGCCGCGGCGGCAAAGGCCGCGACGGCAAAGGCGAGAAGGGGGAGCGCTTTGAGAGATGGGGCAAAGGTGGCAAGGGCAAAGACAACAAGCAAGCCACCCCCCCCGGCAAATGGCTCTCCACCCTCTTCATGGATGGCAAACGTCAGACGCTCTGCATGAGGTACCAGAGTGGGCAGTGCAAGGACCTGGCCACATGCCGCTACTTGCACAGATGCGCAGTGCCCAAGAGTGACGGCACAGCTTGCGGAGGCAATCACCCAGCTTCGCAGCATGTTGCCACCCCGCATTAGGAAACCCACTTCAGCGAGCTGCGGGACATCGCTGAGGAGGTCACGACCGTCCCGCTTAGTGTGCCGGCACAACCGTCAGGCTCAGCAGGGGCCACTTCGGCACTGCCCAAGGCACGTGCCCCGGTCTCCGATGCAGCATCTGCACTCAGTGAAGGCTCTCTCGACTTCGCTACTTGCTTGGAGCTTCTAGCGCAGTACTTTTCCATTCCCTTCGCTTCTTCTTCTCACTGCCCTGACAATGCCATTGCAGCCTCTGAAGCATATTTCAATTTGGGGGCTTTCGCTTTTAATAATGGCTCCAGGTCGGGCATCTTTCAGCGTACCGAGCAATTTTCAGACGTTCTTCGATTCTTGAACGCCTTTATGCAGCTTCAGTTCCCCGAAGCCTCCTGGAGCTCCCTCTGCGTCAGCCACAACGTTCGCACCCGCTTACACACAGATTCTGGCAACGCTGCAGGTTCTCTAAATCACACAGTTTCACTGGCAACTTCAGCGGTGGCGAGGTTTGGCTTTGCCCCGCTTTGAACCAGGCGGCTTCTCAGGTACCGGCCCCCTTGGATGCTTCATCCGAGGCGCACAGTGCAGCTGAACCGGGTACAGGCGAGGTGCGTGACACGTGGCACGCGCCGCTCTCCTTCACCTGTGAATCACTTCATTGTACGCTTCCGATACAAGGAGACCGGTGGGTATTGACTGCCTATACTTGCAGGAGCCTAGACCGCTTTGATGCAACGTCACTGGCACACCTGAGGTCTCTGGGCTTCCCGCTCCCGCCGGCAACCCCAGGCCACCCGCAGTCAATACCTCCCTCGCTCAAGGGCACGACATGCGTGGAGATCTTCCTGGACATATGCTGTGGGGCCGCTCACCCACTTACCACGGCGATGTCTTCATGCGGCATCACTTGTCTGCCCATAGATCTACTTGGCGAGGAGCAACTCGACCTGCTCAGCGACGACACCTACGACCACTTGCTTCGACTGTGTTTTGCTGGGATTGTCCGCTTAGCTCACGGATCGCCGCCCTGCAAGGAGTATTCCCGCTTGAAGCTTCGTCCAGGTGGACCTCCAGCCATTCGATCGCCGGATCACATGAACGGTCTGCCAGGGAACACCGCCTCTCAGCAAGCTAGAGTACACAGCAGCCAAAAGCTTCTATATCGTTGCGTATGCCTTCTGAGAGCAGCTTTCTGTTCAGGCGCACATGTGTCCCTGGAACAACCCACTAATGCTATGTCCTGGCTTGAGCCTTTCGTTCAGGACATGCTTTCTGAAATACAGGCCTCTCTGGTCAACATCCCGGCATGTTCAGTGGGACAGGATATAGCAAAATCGTGGCTTTTCGCTTGCAGTTACAATGAATTCCGCTTTCTGGCAAGCACATGTTCGCATGCAGGAGGCCACCAGTCCGTCGCAGGAGCCAGGGACGAACACGGTAACTTTTTGTCCCAGAGGACGGCGGAGTACCCGTCCCAGCTTGCCGAGAAATTCTCAGCGAAGGCAGTGCACTTATTTTCTTCAGCAAGACCTGCTTATTCGGTTGCGCCCTGCTCCTTGAAGTTCGCACTGTCCTCAATTCCCAAAAAGCCGCGTTCATCAACGCCTACAGCCGCGCAGGACGGCGGGGGCATCTACTCTTTGCCCGACTGGTCCCTTGGCCCAAGGTACCAGTCCGACAGCTTACACGACCTGCGGAAGGAATGGCAATCTTGGCTGCTTCAGAACAGAATTCCTCTCAGGCTCCAGCAACACATTGCCGAAGCCAGCAATAAACCTCTTTTCTCAGAGGAAGAAACGGAGTGGCTTCGCTCTTCTTTCAAGCGCTTTTCGGACGCTCACTCACCGTGCCAGGACTGGAACTTCTCGGTGACGGAAGGCCAGCCCTACTGCTTGTCTGCACTGGAGCGCTTGAGTACTATGCTGGGTGACAAGGACACTTCCCTTTTCCCCGCTTTACAGAAGGGCGTGCCTACGGGATTCGATGGCGACATCCCTCGCAGCCACACACTCCGACCTCGTGATCCCAACAACTCAGACGAACCCACTGACCTGCTTGTTTGCGAAGGTAACTGGCAGGGGGCTGAGGCAGACCCAGCACTGCTTCAGGAGTTGATCGAGGAGGAGGTTTCTGCCGGCTACATAGAGGAAGTTCCCAGCTTAGAGGCTGCTTACGAAAGGTGGGGCAAGGAACGTGTTGCAGTGGGCCGAGTGAACATTGTCAAAGCCCCCGGTCGCTCTGCCCGCTTGGTCATAGACAACAGCATCTGCAACACGAACCAGAACTGCCACGTGCCTGAACAGTTCTCCTTGCCCAGCCTCCAGGACATTCAGTCCGCTTATCCTCCGAGGGAGGACGAGGAGCCGGTTTCGGGTTTCAGCTTAGATGTGAAGGGAGCGCACAAAACTTCACTTGTGCGCGAGAAAGACAGAGGCCTGCTTGGACTGAGACAACAAGAACGCCTCTTTTTCTACCGTGTCTGTCCCTTCGGGGCCACTTTTTCGAGCCACTGGTTTGCCCGCTTAGGGGGCTTTTTTGTGCGCTGCCTTCACCTACTTATCTGGTTGTCACACGTCCTCATGCTGTACGTAGATGATTTGCTTCTCTGGCAAAATTCTCGTGCCCTGCCGCTTAGCGCTTCTCTGGTCTTGGCATTCTGCGCCTGCTTCAATATACCGCTTAGTTGGCGGAAATTGCAGATGGGGCCGTCTATAACCTGGATAGGGTGGCAGATCGACTTCAAGGCTGGCTGTTACACTTTACCGGAGCTCAAACGCTTGAAGCTGCTCGGCGAGGTGGAGGAATGCCTTCGGCACCGACTTGTCAGCCGCAAACAGCTTGACAAACTCCTAGGTCTGCTTCAGTGGATTCTGCATGGTCTTCCTGCTTTACGCCCCTGGCTATGCACTCTTTATGATGACATGCATAGACCACTTGGCACCAATGTCAGCATCAGCCCAGTTGTTTGGCCAGGCATCCATTCTTACCTGGACGACAAGCTCCGCTTCACAGGTTGCCCCCGGGCACGGGCATTTCACCTGGCTCAACTCTGCTTTCAGCCCGGCATAAGCCTCTTAAGAGTAAGGACGACCTGGCTCTAGTCCCCGTAAGCGCAAAGCGCATGTGGCTCCGAATTACGGACCCCCCTTCCTCCAAGCGGCGCTTATCTCAGTCCAGCAGAGAAACCCTTGCTTTCTTTGCCCACTTGAGCTCCAGGGACTGGCGGCCCAGGCCACTCCGACCACCACCTACCAGTACGGTGGAGTCGGCCGCCGACGCCTTCGGCAAGGGCAATGATTGTGGCGTGGGAGGATGGCTCCTCCTCCCTGGTGGACGCCTGCTTTGGTTTGCTCACCGCTACACGGTCAAAGACTTCCTGGACTTAGGTCTGCCCATGCAAGCAGACGCCAACCTGGACATCTCCAGCTACGAGACATTGGCACAGTGCTTTGTGCTTCTGGCCTTTTGGAAAGCCCATGGTTCCGGTCGCTTGGCTTTGACATTACCAGCTTTGAGCGATAATAGCGGCGCAGAGTCAGTGTGTAATAAGCTTTACACCTCTAAAGTACCACTTAATCTTTTCGTTCGCAAGCTTTCGATGTGGAGCTCGATTACCGGTGTCGCTTTGGACTGCAGCCATATAGCTGGCGAGAAGAACGATGACGCAGACCTGCTTTCTCGGTGGGATGGCTCCGCGGAACTCCCTGCCAAGTTTCTGGCCTCGAACCGCATCGAGCTCTCACTTTCTGAGTTCTGGCAGATCCGCTTTCAAGTGAAGCTTTTTCCCGCTGACACATTTTTGAAATGGCAGCTTCCGTCAGCCGACAGCTTGGGCCCGACAAACCGCGGTTCAAGGAAGCGCAAATAGCTTCCTCACCTCACTTTTCTGCTTGGCCTTTTCACTACGTTTGCGAGGTTTCGGCTTGCCAGTTTCAGACCCGGGCTTTTGCGACTGCTCCGCTACTTCAGCTTTTGCTTTACGATCTCGGACGGATCAAAGATCCGATCGGGACAGCCGACTTCTGAGCAGTCGCTTTACCGGCAAGCCGAAAAAGAACAGTGTGCGTACCTTCTTGCACTTTCCAGCTTTTGCTTAGCACAGCATTCCTCGCAGTAGCCTTTTGATGTTGCGTGGTGTAGTAATGTCCTGAACGGTTCCTGTGTTTACTCAGGGTTGTTTCGGACTTACTCATCCCCGCGGCCCCGCTTGGGTTCAAGCATACACCACGCAACAGCAGCTTGCTTTCAAAAACTTTCCCACCCGCCCACACCTTTGGGCACGCTTTCAGCGCAGGGAGCTTTTCAGTCACAGCCCGCTAGACAGTCTTGTATCGCTTTCCGCTGTTTTCGCTCTACTTACATTTCAGCTTTGTTGCTTCTTTGCTAATTCGCTTACATGACGATACGGGCTTTTGCGACTGCTCCGCTACTTCAGCTTTTGCTTTACGATCTCGGACTGATCAAAGATCCGATCGGGACAGCCGACTTCTGAGCAGTCGCTTTACCGGCAAGCCGAAAAAGAACAGTGTGCGTACCTTCTTGCACTTTCCAGCTTTTGCTTAGCACAGCATTCCTCGCAGTAGCCTTTTGATGTTGCGTGGTGTAGTAATGTCCTGAACGGTTCCTGTGTTTACTCAGGGTTGTTTCGGACTTACTCATCCCCGCGGCCCCGCTTGGGTTCAAGCATACACCACGCAACAGCAGCTTGCTTTCGAAAAACTATCACTAGTTCAGCGCAAATCTACAATCTCGTCCTATAATCAAACTCGCTCCTCTGATTCCACTTTATCGTTGCCACTCCCTACTGGCACCCCTATTAAAATTGGTACATGGAATGTAGAAGGCCTCAAGGAAGTAGCCAAATATGATTTACTTTTGAACTTCTGTAAACAATCCCAAGTCTCTCTCCTATGCGTCCAAGAAACCAAGGTTACATCGGCTCACACATTTCAGAAACTCGGCTGGGAAATTCTACACTCCGGCACCCCGAAAGACCCCCATCATGGGGTTGGCTTTTTCATCTCACCCTCCATGCGCCCCCATGTCAGAGACTTTAAGCCACACTCTGCCCGTATCTGCGAGATTACGCTGGATACTCTACCACATCCAATCACCATTTTCAGTATTTACGCACCCAGTACGGTAGAAACTCCCGCATTAGACCGAGAACGTAAGTCCCAATTTTGGGAAGAATTGGCAGATATACTCCTTAATCATCCTAACTCCTCCCACCTCTTCTTGTTAGGGGATTGCAACGCCCGATTGGATCCTAATATCGATATAACTCATTCACATGTGGGGCCCCATGTGGCAGGCCGAAGACAAACTATCCCTGATGTAGATAGAGACAATGCCCTCTTTTTAATCGACCTCCTTGAGAGCCACGGTTTGGAATTGCCCCAAACTTACCAAAACCTGCCTTTTCGGCAAAGGGTCTCTTACAAGGAGATGACTTGCAAGGACCCCCTTCTTGAAGGGGAGGATATCGCCGACTGGACGACCTTAGATTATGCCATTGCCCCTCAGGGCTTCCGACAAACTTTTTCATTTGTGGGCGCGTATTTTCAACAACTAGTCAACTCCCGTCATATCCCTCTCATTTTCTCACTTAAAACACAATTCCAGCCCACTCCCCCAAAACAAGCTCTCAGAAAACCAGACTATACACAACTCTCCTCTTTCTACACACAGTTGGAGTCTTCTCTTCTAGATAAGACCGATAACGCTTTCATTTTCCCGCACTCCCCTGCTACACAAATCATCGCTTACACAGATGGCTCTTGTCCTAATAACCGTACAGTCTCCTTCGATAACCCGGCAGGGTGGGGTTTTACTCTCACCTCAGGATCGGATTTGCCCGCACACCCCCCGGTGGACTCCACTTGGTTACAGTCCTGGGGTAAGGTCCGCGCCACCCCTACTCAATATCTGCCAGAATTACCCGGCTCCAATAACACCGGAGAGCTTAAGGCTCTTATTGAACTCTTTGATTATTTGATTTATCATTCTACTTTCCAGTCAGGAGACCGACTTACCATATACACGGACTCGCAGTACGCTCTCTCTCTCCTTCTTGGCTCCTCTGTCCCTACCACACACCACCAGCTGGTTACTCTCGCCCAGCAATATTATACGGCACTCCGCTGTCGTTTCCGGGTAAATCTCTTGAAGGTACCTTCTCATGAAGGAATACCAGGAAATGAATTAGCGGACGCTCTAGCAAAACGTGGAGTCTACTCCTTCGGCTCACTCGGCAGGTTTGCCGCTACTCCCTCTAAATCCCTCCAGCCCCCTGAAATTGGCTTTAACCAGCAAGGATGGGACTCCTTAGATGTCATGGAACAGGATGATTTCCTCATCTCCAAGATCAAAGAATATACTTCTCTTATCCCTATCCTGCCACTCTCCGCCAAGAAACCCTGGATCTCCCCTCACACTCTACATCTCATCCAGGTATTTCAGGAAACTAAATTCACAGATACAACTGCTCTTAAAGCGGCCAGAACAGCCATTAAGAAATCCGCCCGTAGAGATAAAAAGCTATTCATTGCTCAGAATCTCCAGGATGATTTCTACGGAAGCTCCATTCAACAATGGACCCACGCTCGTCAGATTCGTTCTGAATTTCGCCCACGCGCTGCGGGACTATTCAATCTCCACGAAAAACTTGTTTCCTCCTCCCAACGTGCCACGACTTTTGCCGATTATCTTTCCAAACAGGTGTGGCACACTACAGGAGATCCCACTATTCTCCAGCATGATCCACATCCACCGGTTACGGAAATTGATTCCCCCTTTACAATGAATGATTTAGACGCCGCTCTAAAACGTCTCAAAAACCATAAGGCCTCCGGCCCCAACGATATTCCGGGGGAAATATACAAGCACGCCCCCTACATATTGAAACTCTATCTCCTTTTTCATTACAACCAATGTTATCAGGAAGCGAAAGTACCCCCTTCTTGGCTCTTCTCAGAGGTCGTCATGATATTAAAAAACACGCAGAAAGACGCCCGGCTCCTTTCCAACTATCGCCCCATCTCCCTTACTAATATATCCTACAAGATCTTCGCCTCAATGCTACAACAGAAATTAGAAAAGGGTCTGGATCCCAGAATTCGGGACAGGCAATTTGGATTCCGCAAAAATCGTTCTACCACACAGCCTATTCACATTATTCGTCGTCTCTTGGAGGTCTATGAAAGGCAAAACTCACCTCTTCACGCTCTATTTATAGATTGGAGCAAAGCATTCGACTCCGTTACCTTTACCGCTATCGAAGCGGCTATGACCCATGTGGGAGTTCCGGATCACACACGTAAAGTCATAATGGCTCTCTATGAAAACCCCACTTTCTTGGTCAGAGACTCTTCTCAAAAATCTACCGTACGTACACAGACTAAAGGTCTCCGCCAGGGGTGCCCTTTATCTCCCTATTTATTTGGCTTTGTACTAACCCACCTATTTCACGACGTTGAGAGAGACTATCAGGGTCGGTTTGGAGAAATATCAGGTGTATTTCATGTCCCCTCCCCTCTCTGGGACTTAGAATATGCAGACGACACTGTTCTCCTCTCATGTTCGGCGGAGCAACTCAATCGCCTCCTACACTCCGTCCAACACCATGGTTCTAAGAGGGGTCTCCTCCTTAATGAAGACAAATGTGAGCACTTACGTCTACATTCGCCAAACCGCATATACTACGCGCCAATGGCGCAAACCCCATGTCAATGCAAATATTGTGGCGGTGTCCACGCTCCCCCTACCCCCGTTCCCCTCTCCGATGAGGTTAAATATTTAGGGGTTTATCTGGACCCGACCAATAACAATCGTAAGAACACCTCTTATAGAATTTCACAAGCAGTCGCAGCCTCGAAGCTGCTTCGGCCACTGTTATCTCATGCGGGCCTACCGCCAAGTTGGAAACTTACAGTATATCGGAGCATTGTTCTCTCCATTCTCACTTACGCTATGGACAGTGTCCTACTCACTTCACCACAACTTCGTAAACTGGATTCCATTCATTACAAATCACTGCGCCGTATATTTAAAATTAAATCTTCTTTTTATCATAGAATCCTTGACCCATCGGACTCTCAATGCTCTAACCAATATCTTGCATCTCTCTCCTACCGAACACGTAAGGTCATCACTCCCTCTCAGTTATACTCACAACAACGCTTACAACTTTTCGGACACATTCATAGACACCCAGAATCACTAGAAAGTCAATGTACCTATATGACATCACATGCCTACAGACACATCAGGGCTCCAAACAGACCAGGTCGGCCCCGCATACATTGGGCCGAATCCTGCATGACGCAGGCTGCAGAACGCATCGATCATTTGCTCTCGGACGCAGCCCCTTCTCATGAACAAATACAACACAGCTTCTATCAATTGCCAAATCCGGCTAGCATCGCTGCAGCGCACCGCTCCTCCGGGTTAATGTGGATGGACAATACGTCCCTCTACCGCAAAGTGCAGCCACGTTGCCAAGACCGTCTGTTTTGGACGAAAGTAGTACACAAACCTCCTTCGGGCCGTGCTTAATTTAAGCCACCAGTAACTGAATTAGGATAGGTCGGTGCTGATGGGCTAGTAGTTGACAGCCTTTCGCGTTCGAAAAAGCCTTTTGATGTTGCGTGGTGTAGTAATGTCCTGAACTTGCATTTATTGACAGCTGACATGATGCGATTTCTTCAGAAACCTTGTGTGTGAAGTGTGAAAGCCGAGCTCGCTTGGCTTTAGTTGGTGATGAACATTGAACATTGAACATCGCATCTAGCAACCATTCTTATGGCATGATTCACAAGTCACAAGTTTTTGTTTCGCAGTGATAGAAGAGCATCTAGAGCCCAGAGC